TATTGCTGAATACTTACCATATCGAAGAACACTTAACTTTTCCTCCTACTGTCCACTCTCTCATATCAATACAATAACATCCACGACAACGATTTCAGTACCCTGTGTAATTCACAAATACACAAGCATATCCCAAACCTTGGAACAAATAACTTCCTATCCACAGAATCTAATCAAGACAATTCCTTCGATTACAATTCCTCTCCACTAAACTTACAACCTTGTGATAAACAGTGACTAAAAACTTCCATACGTCCTCAATCTTTCACAACAATTGATAAACAGTGATCCATAAACAACTTTGTAAATCAAACATTAATTCATTAAATCGATTCTCTTCACTAGAATCAACGCTAACACAAAAGAAACAAGAAAACTAAGAAGAAGAGCTAGCACCAAGCTTATCCCCGGCTCAGTACTATCGCAGTCTAGCATTTTCTTCCCCTCTCCCATCCTCCTTATACTACCCCGAGATACCAACTCGTATACTATAGATGATAATTACTTTTCCTAACTATTCATCCATTCTACTTACTGAATCACCTTTTCAGCAGTTATCTATCCTTGTTTACACTATACACTAGGTATCTACATTCTGAAAATAACTACTTATTCTACAGTCTATCTCGCAAGATAGTATGTGTTGTTGCAGAATCAATTAGCACATCATTTGATTCATTGTTAGAGGTTCTATCATTCATATAAGCTTCTAAGTCATCAACACCAATTGAATCCATGGACGCATCCATGGTATGAACTTCATGAGCCTCAACTCACAATTTCTTATTTTTTTAGAACATTTTAATAAAATATTTTGAACTACAGCACGCATGTACTAAATGTCCAATCATTCCACACTTATGGCAAGAACGCATCTCTGATTTTTGTTTTTTACTATAATTAATAGTAGAATGTTTATTCTTTCCATATGGGTAGAAATGGTCTTGACTATGACTACCTTGATACTTATGAGCACATTTCCCATGTTTATATAATTTCTTCTTAGACTTTGAAATATTAAGTGCATGAGATTTTGGAACTATAGTTCCAATAGGACGAGCTTCCGCATTGTGCAAGAGTAGCTCATTTTGCTTCTTCACAAGAAGTAGATATGATATGAGATCAAAATGACTCTGAAATTCCATGTTCTTGTATTGTTGTGTAAGCACAACAGTTACAGGAGGAAATGTAGAGAGAGTTTTCTCAATCATTTCTTCTTTAAAAATGCTTTATCAACATAATCGTAATTGTGAGACAATACTATACATTTCACTATTGAAAGCATTTAAATTTGGAAAATCCAAGACACGTAAATGTGTCCAATTATGACATGCACGTGGAAGAAAAATGGTCTTTTGATGATCAAACTTAGATTTAAGATTCTTCCAAAGTTTTGTAGGATCTTCCATTTCCAAATATTGATGTTGTAATGCAGGTACAAGATGATGACGAAGGAAAAGAAGTGCTTTCCAACAAATAGTAGGAGGTATAAAAATACTTATTGTAGGAGATTCTTCAAACATAATGGCATCCGAGAGTTGTTCTGCAAATAAATTTACTTTTGTCATTTTTGCCCATAATAGATAATTGTTTCCATCCACAGTCAATGGTGGAAATAAAAGAGCTTGAAAAATGTTGGGATGCACTGGTAATAGTTGGAACCATAGTAGAAGCAATTGAAGATGTTGAAGCACTCATTATAAATAAATCTATAAAGAAAATACAAGATCAAGTAGAAAAGTTGAGTAAAACGTACCTTAAAATATAAAGTCAAATAAAATGATAAACTTGAACTTGAAAAAATAAAAATATATAATTTTTTTTTTTTTTTTTTTTTTTTTAAAGAGATTGTAGATTAAAGCAGCAGAACATCAATAAGATGGCAGTAGTAGGCAGCGGTAGGATGGCAGCAATAGGGCGACAAGGTGGCAACGGCGGGTGGCAACGGACAGCGGCAGCGGCGTTAAGGCAGCGACGGCTGCAGGCGACAACATTTGCGGTGACAGGGTGGCAGCGGCGATAGTGGCGGATTTGACGGCAACTCAATAGCTGTTTGGCAGCTGTTCAGTGGCAAGCGCAAGGCACAGCGAGGAGAAGGGAGCAAGTTGGAGTGGAGTTGGACTAGATCAAGTATTTTAAGCAAGCAGGGCAAAGAGTGGAACAAGTGCTCTAAGCAAGCAGCTAATATGTGAGGGGCCAACAAGAAGAACAAGATCATGAGATAGACACTGAGCAAGGGTAGCAATAGGTTTGAAGAATCAAAGACTAGAGCAAAAAATTGTAATAGTGTATAGAAGAGAGTCGTGCTGATAACGTGTTGAGAATGTTTAGAAAGACACAAGAGTAATAGTAAGTCATATACACACACACAAGAGTAGTAGTAAGTCATACACACAAGAGGGTTTTTAAGGAGAGAGAGCTTCACACATAAAAATCTGTTCATCTGGTTGTGTCTCGTATACAAGAAGAAAAAAGAGGAGAAGATAAATAGTACTTCTCCACTAGACTCTAAATATTATAGCTTTGGTATTTATTGTAGTCTACAGTAAATATTATGGAGAGCGCAGGCTACATTTAATGATCTCAACAAAAACAAAATCCATTGGATTGACTTGGTACCACAAGGGAATCTAGGTGACCAGTCGGCATAAAATTAAGAGCATAAACTGTTACAAAGGGATCCATACCCAAAGAATGTTCCCATTGCAGAGCTCAAAGTCCAAATTACACAGGGCAGTGCAACAAAGACTACACAAACATAGCGAAAAATTGGCATGGTGTGCGCATCCATGCATGACCCAATCTATGAACAAACACAAATGCCATAATCATCCAGCAACAAATGGGAGAGCGTGGACAATAATCAAAACTGCAAACGAACAAAAAAACAGGCGCAACAGAAAGAGCATCAATGTACGGGAAGAATGTGCAAGATCGAGTGATGGCCCCATGCATGACTTACCTCAAGCTTTCAGCGACGACAACGATGACGACGACAAGACAAATAACATCCCGCTATTATCCGAACATTTCAAACAACCGAATCGTCATTGCTAAGCTCTCAGACGCCATACACTCCTCCAAGAGGCTAAAGGCACGATCCTATCACCACGGCCACAGTCAATTTAGAGCCTAAATATGTTCGACAACATGCAGTCAAGGCTTCCAATTCTGATGCAAAGCTTCCAATTCTGATGCAAATTTCACAGCACTAACTGCAATAGTCACACAATATCATGCTACAACATTGATTCAACAAATCCTTCTGTAATCGAATTCATGCCAGTACCCAATTCCCATTTCCGATTTCCTCCTCCATTCTTCCAACAACTTCATACATCAACAACAATAAGGTCCACGACGAATGAAGATTTCAAGGCAATTTATGGTCCTTCTCATGGCTAAGTGACAATGGCATGACCAAGGGGTACCCCGTCCTCAGTGGGCACTGCCCCTGGTATGAACTAGGCACCCGACAGCGCGTGACGCTCCACGGTCGTTGCGTCGGCCACGATGCGAGGGCCGCCACCGACGCTTCCCGTTTTGCGAACGCAGTGTGTACAACCTCGCCCAGCTGAGAAATGGGCTCGCATCATCGCCATTCCGGGGTGGTGCCAGCTCTCGGCACCCGCCCTCTCTGGAGGTCCGGCCCGGATGCAGTGTCGAACAAGCAAAGGGCACCTGGGATCGGAGCGCGGAGATCGCACGGGGAGGGTCTCGTGCGCACGATGCAACATCGTCGCCGTCGGCGTTGGTGATGATCTTTCCGTGAGTCGAACCTCGCCTCCGATCGTCCGGTCTTCTCAACGGTCAGCGTTTGTACCCGTGATAGCGGTGACGACACTCGGATTCTGGCAATTTGGGGATGGCAACACCAGCCTACGGCGTCCGGAATGTCGGGCTTGACGTTAATAGAAATCTCACCTGACTCTATTATTGCTCGCATCTCGATAAGTCACCAGCAAGACCCCGAGCAAAATCTGGACCTGACGTCCTTGCACCCTGAGCGCACGGTACACACTCTTGGGGCGTTTTTGCACGCTGTAAGGACAAACAAACAATTTCCGGATGCTTCATAACTCTCAACCGAAACACGTGAGTCATCAAGCCTTAGGCCCAGCCGAAGGCCAGCATGTCAGCACATCCATCTGATACGAAATTGATCCCTGTGGGTGTGTCCCACGAACGAGCCACTAGATTAAAATCTCCATCACCAAGTTTTGCACAGCTTTTGTGCCATGTGGGCAGCCATTTGAGTTTAGCATGTATGTACAAATTTTTATGCTGAGAATCTCGTGCCGATTTGTAGACCGATGCGAAAAAAAAGAAGAAGGGTTCATTTAATTTATGATTTGGGGCAAAAAGATCGAATAAAACAAAATAACGATTCCAGACGCAAGTCCACCATCGGCTGAAGTGTACTATTCGAATAAAAACATACAATATATAATATGATGTAGTCAAGTTCTTTGGTAGATGATTCATCGCAACACTGCCGTCCATGTTGGACCCACAAGAGGTGGCAGTTCTTTGTTGTTCCTGCATTTGTAACTTCAAAACAACTCGCCACAATTATACTTGCTACAATTCAAGCGCAAAATTCAACGTCTCATATCCACCCGCGAGGAGGAGGTTGGAGCATGGGTTGCAAGCGGTGGGTGGACGACAGGAAGTGAGAAGAAGCGCAGGAACTGAGAGGCGAACAGAAATGAAGCCACAAAACAAACCTTGGCACCCACAGTCCCATTGCAGAGGGTGCATTAGATTAGATTAGTAGAGGGGGCCTTTGGTGAGGCTGGGGTAGGACGGCGTTCGGGCTTGGGGGGTTCGAGAAAAATATCAGGCAGGGCAGAGGCATCCGCAAAGCTCGGGTGGCGCAGTAAAATCCAAGGTGTCATGTGGGCAGTCCCATTTGGCGAATAATTGAAGCAAGGAGGCGATGATGAGCATGACAAGCAGATCTGAGCATAAATCTAGGGCCCGGGGGGAGATGCCGCGTGCGAGTGAGCGTGGGAGTCAGGTGCCACCAACAGTGTGAACGCATATGTGGGACTTTATAAGAAGTCCTCGAGGACCACCATTTGCTCCGTGCCCTCCTCTGTCTCTTGCTCCCTTTCGTTCTACCCATTTCTGCACGGTTGGGTTGCGGCATCCGCAGCAGCAGTTTCGTTGCCCTCTCTTCGGGTTGCGTTGAGGAAGGAGGTTGTGCTGTTGGTGCCTCGCCCATTTGCAGATATGGAGCTGTCCGTGGAGAAGACCGCCTCCGGGCGCGAGTACAAGGTGCGGGACATGTCCCAGGCCGACTTCGGGCGTCTGGAGCTGGATCTTGCGGAGGTTGAGATGCCCGGGCTCATGTCGTGTCGCACGGAGTTCGGAGCCGCGCAGCCATTCAAGGGCGCCAAGATCACGGGGTCCCTGCACATGACCATCCAGACTGCGGTGCTCATCGAGACATTGACGGCTCTGGGCGCGGAGGTGAGATGGTGCTCTTGCAACATCTTTTCTACCCAGGACCACGCTGCCGCCGCTATCGCACGCGACAGCGCGGCGGTGTTCGCATGGAAGGGGGAGACACTGCAGGAGTATTGGTGGTGCACGGAGAGGGCTTTGGACTGGGGTCCGGACGGAGGCCCAGATCTGATCGTGGATGACGGCGGTGACGCGACATTGTTGATTCACGAGGGTGTGAAGGCCGAGGATGTGTACGCGAAGGATGGCACGCTGCCCGACCCCGAGTCGACGACGAACGCCGAGTTCAAGATCGTGTTGACAATCTTGAGGTGAGCGAGGGATGGAATGGGATGTGGTGCGGTGGGGTGAGTGGTGGGGTTTTTTTATTTTATTATTTGTGGGTGGTTGTCGGGGGGTTTGCGAGGGGGTTTAGTGATGGTGGGGCGGGGCGTGGGCCGATATCTGGCATCGGCCCCGGCCGCGTTGAAGGAGTGGATGGTAGGCCGTGCGGGGTTTTGGTGGAGATGGGGGAGGAATCCGGGGGCGGTTGTCGTTGGTGGCGGCGGCGTTGGTTGTGCTGAGACGGTGGCTCCTGTTTGCGCAGGGACGGCATGAAGGAGAACCCCAACAAGTACCACAAGATGGCGGAAAGGTTGGTGGGTGTGTCGGAGGAGACGACGACGGGAGTGAAGCGGCTGTACCAGATGATGGACAACGGAAGCCTGTTGTTCCCTGCCATCAATGTGAACGACTCTGTGACGAAGAGCAAGGTAATGTGACCCGTGGGTGGCAGATTCCGTAAGTGTTGTTGTGGACGCGTGTGTGGGGGGTGGGGGGGCCGTGGAACGGTAGGAGGGAGGGGGAGTGTGTGGTGTCGGGTGCTGACGTTTGGGTCGCTGTGCAGTTCGACAATCTGTACGGTTGCCGGCACTCGCTGCCCGACGGGCTGATGAGGGCGACGGATGTGATGATCGCCGGGAAGGTTGCTGTGATCTTCGGTTACGGTGATGTCGGGAAGGGATGCGCGAGCGCCATGAAGGCCGCGGGAGCGCGTGTGATCGTGACGGAGATCGATCCCATCTGCGCTCTGCAGGCCCTCATGGAGGGGTACCAGGTGCTGAGGTTGGAGGACTGCGTGGAGTACGCCGACATCTTCTGCACGACGACGGGTAACAAGGACATCATCATGGTGAGCGACATGAGGAAGATGAAGAACAACGCCATCGTGTGCAACATTGGGCACTTCGACAACGAGATCGACATGGAGGGGCTGGAGACGTATCCCGGGGTGAAG